AATGAAATATGGAAACTATTTATTGCTGTGTGGTCAGTGGTGCATATCTGGGCCATAGAAAACATTAAAAGTGTCTGTATTTATTGATTCCACATGGCTATGGTGTCCATCTTCAGGAAAACTGAGGGATTTACTGTGGCCTGTTGGTCCCAGAAACTCATTAAAGATGGATAACAGGGTGGTTTTCAGCATTGAATAGTTGCCTGGGACTGGGAAATATATGCTGGTTGTCTCTTATGACTGTTCTTGCCATTAGTGATATCCTAGGTATGATGGTATTTGACTTTTAGTGTCTTTCACAGGGCTGTAAATGACTGTAGTTGTGTTATCTCTTCAAGAGTTGCCACTGGTCAGTATTTGTCATATTGGAGCTTAAGACTGCGAGATCATTTAAACAGGGTGAAGTACCTTGTTCTTTAAATGTGTTCTGCAAGCACGTGTAATTGGTCTTGCAAAAATTTGTTCCCGAAGAGGTCTTGAAAAGTCAAGCCTTCCTGTGCTGCATTTGAGTATATTTCTTACAGGCTCTGCTATGATGTTTGCCCTAGAATACATACTGTGCTGCACTGATACAGATGAAACTGGCAGCAGTTCTCATTTTCAGGTGGCCCTCATGCTCTTCATTAGGAATGATCAGTGCTGCTCAAAGCTTTTCAGCAGTACTGAGAAAATTGGATTTTCCTGCTCCAGGAGTGAGCAGTGGAACTGTGCCACTTCTCCAGCACTAAGGGGACAGGCAGGGGGAGACGGGCTGTGCTGAAATGTGAGACCTCTGCCCAGCTCCCGTAGTGGGCTGAGTTGCCCTTTCACACATCTCACATCTGCAATGGCAGCAGCAGTATGGCTTTTCAGGACTCTAGTATTGGTAGTGGGGTTTTAGCCTCTTTTGCTCTGCTAATAGTATTTGTGAGTAGGTTAGATCCTACATGAAGCTTTTGGAAGGATTTGTGAATTCCTGGGTTTGATTTTTGTGGTCCTATGGAAGGGTTCTGCATTGCTGTTTGGGCATTGCAAGGCAGCTCTTTTTTTCCTTTGTGAAGAAGCTGTTTTTCTTTTGCTCACTGAAATTCAACAAGGTGAAAAGCCTATCAGGAAGAGATGTTCTTCTTCCCTTCAAATTTCAGTAGAATCATGTAACTCTACCACATCTGAGAAATCACCCTTTCCCATTAGTGGGCCTATGCTGCCATACACCACCTCAGCATTGCGTGTGCCAACATCTGGCCAGTCTGAAGCTCTGCGAGTAGTGAGTGGAGGCTCCAGGATCAGGCAGAAGTTGCCTCTGGCAAGATCAGCAGCTGTGGTAAGGAGAGCATTGAGCCAGGGATCTCCCCTATACTCATCAGAAAGAAATTTGCCCAGGATGTTGAGTGAGGCAGGAAATTCTGACAGTGTTGGGAGGTAAAGGGTGGAGAGGTAGCTTGAATTTCGGAGCTTGTAGAGCTTGATTTAGTCAAGAGCTAGGGTTTCTGTGGTGTGTTACCAGAACTCAAAAGCTGAGAAGTACAGTGTGGAGACCCTTAGGGACTCAAAGACAAGCAGGGGCTGAAACCACAACATGGAACCACGTAGTTTCTGTAAAGACCTTTTAGTTTGTATGGCACTGTCCAGCACACAGTCAATCCATCATCACCTTGGTGTTTGGAGAATCCTGGTCTGGCAGGACTGATACTGAACTGGAGCTCATAAGCCCATACTGGAGCCAGTCTTTGTCTCTGTCAGTATCCATGGACGATTTTCCTAGTGTTTGCGGTATTCCGATCTCCATTATTCTAGATAAAGGATACTGACTTTTCTAAGTAGAAATACAAATTTTATGACACTGTGTGTGTGTGTATATGTATCATAAACAGTTTATACATGTATTATAGACAGGCATAAGTATCTATATTTTGGTATATATAAAGATAAATAAATAAAAAATGTCACACAGAATATACATATATAAAAAGTATTTTCTCTGTAAAGTTGACTACTCAAAATTTAGGAAATACGAGCATGCGTTTTGCAAGAGCAACTTTATTTTTGCCCTCTGAGGAGGTCTTTAATAAGAGGACATAATGAGAGTTTTGCAGAAACACTTTCTTACACAATTTAATGTTGTAAAGTAGTTATGGGATGAATCTGGATTATAAGGCAAATAAGGCTATTGACTGTAGGATTCCCATCTCATTTTAGGTGGTGAAGGTAGGTAGTGAATAGGGTAAATGCAAGAGGCAAAGGAAGGAAAGAGCAATACAGAAAAATGCTTCTGTCTGTTCCACCTAATAGTTCCTAGATGGTTCTGTGAAGTTGTAGTGAGGCTGGGGTTGGTCTCTTCTCCCTAGTAACAAGTGATAGAACAAGAGGAAATGGCCTTAAGCTGCACTAGGGGAGGTTTAGGCTGGATATTAGGAAGAATTTCTTTACTGAAAGGGTTGTCAAGCATTGGAACAGCCTGCCCAGGGAGAGGGTGGAGTCACCATCCCTGGAGGTGTTTAAGAGACAGGTAGATGTTGTACTTAGGGACATGGTTTAGTGGTGTTGGTAGAGCCTGGACAAAGGCTGGACTTGATTATCTTGAAGGTCTCTTCCAACCAAAACTGTTCTATGATTCTATTATCTTGTCAGCTCATCAGTCCTTCTTGTTCTGCATTATGAAACTTCACTATTTCCACCACTCCCGGGTGCTGAATACTCATAGTAAACAGATCCTCAGATATTTAGTTGCCCCACTCTTCTAGGGCTCCTAAACCTTTTCAAGAACTTGAGTATTTCAGTAGAACTGGCTATAAATCTGCAGCAAGTGTGGGATTTTTTTTCCTCGTACGTTTCTCAACAAATTGGACTGATCTTTCAGAATGAGAAGAGAGGTGATCTTGTGTTTTAATTCTGGCTCAGCTACTTCTTTGCTGAATGCTTCTCAAGTGGCTGCTTTGAGTTTCTCAGTTTTTCCCACTGGTAGAATTGAGAAGATACAGAATACCTGGAGGAGGGGGGGGTGGGAAGTTTGAGGCCCTCAGATATCAAGAAATGCGGTGAAGGTGTACCTCATTCCACTTTCATCGAAGGGTTTTTAATGCTCTGCAACTAATACAATAGGACACATGCGTCTGAACAATAAAGATAAAAAGAAATATTGATGTCTTATCTGTTGAATACCATCCATCTTATGTAATTAAAGACTATGCTATGGTGTGTTTAAACGCGGGAGGACAGATTTCAAGACGCTTGTGTGTATTTTGGTACTTAATTAATGGCAGCTTAGCTCTTGCAAGAGTTCCAGAGGTATCGTTGTGCTAAATACTCTACATCCACAGAGTAAGAAATGGATTGTATCTCTCCAGATGGTAAATGAGGATAGGATAAATGGCAAAAGTGAGGGGAAATGTCTGCAATTATTGACCACAGCCCTAGACTGTAGATTAAATGACATTAACATAGTTAGCAGAGACATAACAAAGTTTAGAATTTCAGCTGCATCTTGCGACGTAGTTGGACCAATTTTCGATACTGCCGTGGTGGTGTAAGAGTTGCTGAAGTGGTTTGAGAAGTTACTGCCCTTTTATCCTCTCTGACTCTGTGGGAACCCACCATCCCTGCAGTAGAGCAAACAAACACGTAGGTTCCCTGTTCCAGTGCAGAGTCTTGACAGCTGAGTTTACCATGGCTGGTAGGTTAGACCAAGCTGCTGGATGTTTCCCTCAACCAGCTGAGGCATGTGCACCAGCTGTGCTCTGCTGCCCTGCCTGGGAGGCAGGTAGGGTGTGTGGGAGGGATGAAGGAGGAGTAAAGTGGCTCAAGGACAGTGACATCTTCAACTGCTGCGGGTGTCAGCTATGACTGTTGTCTGTCCACAGCTCAGTCTTATTCAAGTGATTTGACTCAAAGCAGTACTACTTAGCTAATTCAAAGTAGAAAAGCAGGTTTAAATTAAGAAGGAACCATCTTGTTTCTTTTGAATCTTCATTTAGTTTAAGTGCTAAAAGCCATAATCAGTTTTTCTCTCAGTCCTTGTTCCATTTGTGAGAAAACCCATGTAAGACTATTTTTTTTGGAACCAGGCCCAGTGTTTTCTTCTCTTCTCTTCTCTGCTATAGCAAATATGTAAATTTAAAACCTGACTGAACATTTATTTAGTTCCATGTCTGAAAAAGGGTTTATGCATGTGAGGATGGAAAAAAAAGTAAGGCAAGCATTTTTAGTTTTTAAAAATATTTGGCAAGGATCACCTCACAAGGAGGTGCAAAGTAATGAATTCCTTCATAGCTTATATGATCTATTGTGCTGTCCGAGTTGATTATGAAGTATTGCCTGGAAATTTTTTTTTTCTTTTCAGCTTGTTTAACCAGCATAATGCTGTGAATGGTGCAAGAGAGAGTTATATATTCTGCATTAGCTAATACATGTTTTTATATAACAGTACTTTTGTGTGCGTACAGTACTTGAAGTGGGCTGCTTTCCTGAAATTTCAGGCTAATTTACTGGCCCTTAGGTTTTCTCCCTTTTATTGCTAATCCGAGTTCTGTCTATATTAACCAAAGATAAATGTACCCTTGAAAGGGAGAGTGATGCATCCTCATCACAAGCAAGAAATACAACATACCTGTTCAGGGAGAAGTAGGAGGGTTGGACATCCATGATGTTTAAGGGAGAGTTGGACATCCATCCTGTTCTTACACCCTAACTGAGATTTGCCAACATAGAAAATATTATATTCCTAGTTTTTGTAGTATGGAGGTGTTACTGGCAGATTTCCTGGTGGGAAAGAAAATTCAGAGAAGGAAGCATTCCCTAGAACTCTTAAGAAACCTCTGCAGGGAAAGACGTGCAATAAATCACTAGAATGTGAAATATGCAAAGCATTTCTTTAGTGTAAATTTTTTAATATCATCCAAATGTCTCTTTCCTGTCTCTGTACTGTTTGCAAGTAGATGTTTACATTCAGAATGTTGCTGTTTTTAAAATATAATTATTGCTGTTGTTTTTGTTGTTTTGTTTGTTGTTTTTTTAAACTGTAGGTATGAGAAGGTGCCAGTAATTCTGGTTGGTAATAAAGTGGACCTGGAAAGTGAGAGAGAAGTATCATCGAGTGAAGGCAGAGCCCTAGCTGAAGAATGGGGCTGCCCATTTATGGAGACCTCTGCTAAAAGTAAAACAATGGTGGATGAGCTCTTTGCGGAAATTGTTAGACAAATGAACTATGCAGCACAGCCAGACAAAGATGATCCATGCTGTTCTGCATGTAATATACAATAGCATTTAAAATTACCTAACCTGGACTTAATTTGCAGAAATTTTGTAAGGTGGTAAAACTGTCTACTTCACTTCCTGGTTTGTGGGTCACTTGAAATACATCTGTAGTGAAGTAGCAACATTAACTCAGAGCTGAGCATTGAAAGTCAATCACTGACTCTGAATATAATTGGGTTAAATAACCACATCTTGCCCGTTTTTCCCTTTGAGCACCTGCAACTTTATGGCACAGCCAGTTGATCTACAGGGTCGTTCCAGTCAAGCATATGTGTGTTGTCATGTCGGACAGCAACAACAGCAACTATTTCTGGAGAAGCTGGAAGACTTTGGGAAATGGGAAACAAAAGCAGTGGAGAGAATACCTCTGAAGACCACTCACAGCTAGCATAAGCGTGAAAGGAGAGCCAAGTCTTTCAGTGTCTAATTACTGTGCTTCAGGACGTGCGCTATCACTTGTGGCCAAGTTTGTTCAGTCAAATATGTTGATTTCACCAGAACTTCTGACAGTGTTAGAGGAAGAGGCTACCAGAGACCTATATAGTTTGGATTTTTTTCAAAATTGATGCTATTATTTCTACACTTTATCCCACATCTTGAAATAGAAAACATTGAATCAGTGTGTGAAATGAGAGGCAAGATCTGAAAACAAATGACGGGTGAAGAAGCAGTCTGGCATTGGAATGTTTTAAATCTTTCATTTTGCTGCTCAAAAATGGAGGATCGCTTCAGGTTTTGGTCTGCAAAAAGCTAAACAAACCCTCTGTTTACAAAGCAGGAAGCATCTTTATTTATCACTTTACTGAACCAGGAGGAAGCAACTGTGATGAAAAAAAATTGCTGAGCCTTACTAACAAGGAACACTTTAATAGATTAACTAGTACCATCTTGTAAGGAAAATTAAGCCATGTTGCATCCATATGTTCCCTTCTGCAGAAACCTCGTGGGACAGTATGAACATCCTGCATTTTCAAGTTTGTTAAAGACAACAGTTTTTCTTGCCTTTAAGGGCTACGTTCTCTGGTGTGATCCCTAACTAATCTTTGAAAATCAAGTTTGCTATTTGATAGCTTTAATGTTAAAAACTTAAATTGAATAACCATGTGAAATCATTTGGTTCAGAGGTGAAATAGTTACGGTTGTAATTCCTTAGGTGAGTGTGGAAATGGCTCTTTAATTGCCTGACACACTATTCAAAGGTTGCCCCAATTATTGGAGTGTTAAATGGTGGGAGCAAATATTTTATTTTGAAAGGATGCTCGAGCTCTGACTTGCTAGTTTCATAGCAGTGAAGTATTTATCATTTGCATGACTAATGGCACAGAAATACCTATTCCGAAGTCTTACAATCAAAGTATAGAAAAGTTTTCAATCACAATGTTTAGATTTTAAATGCTGGAGAGATTGTCTGAGCTTGATCTTTTATAGGTAAAATTGGCCATAAAAATAGAGTCACTGAGCCTGTGGTCTAAATAACACCATGCGTTTATTAGTTTTTCAATCTTGTGCAGTAACAGTGTAGTTCCTTGTGTTTAAATGAGTGAAAACAGGGGTGCTGGGGTGTGTGTGTGTGTGTGTTGAGCGTGTATGTGTGTGTGTATATGGCCCTTAGAAATGCTGTAATTGGAGTTAGGTTCGAGAGTTTTGCCTCCATCTGCAGAACTTCCTAAAAACGCTCTCATCTGTTACAAAGGAAACTTGAGTACAAAATGCTTTGCAGATTTTCATACATAAATATCCTTAACATTTTGAATTATAGTTCGGTGGATGATAACTAAAGGAAATCATATTAATGGAAGAGAACTGGCCATCTCTGCCCTTAATCTTTCAAGACCTTTCCACAACCAATGTATCAAAGGGCATTAGATGTCACAAAACATTAAGCCTTACTGGAACGTAAATGTAGCCCGTTTCCCATCTACCTTGCAAAGCTTTCGATACTGTACTTTGTTCTCTTAGGGAGATAGGCACACCGTTTATTTCTGGCATCTGAATGCCCATTTTGGGTGCTCTGAATCGCCCTCCTAGAGGCACCTACCTCTTTCCATTGACTATATAGCAAACTTAGGCTTTTAACTTTGGTCCTCCAAGTCACACAACTTATATGCCTAAACTAGATGGTATGAATGTTCTCTTACCCCCCGCCTGCCCGTTGTGTCAGCCACCATGCTTAAGCAAGATGTGAGATGTTGAATTAATATTTCAATGTTTAAAATATCTAAATTGGGAAATGGTTTACTGAGCAGTGCAACCTATCTGTAAAACAGCTTGTCAGTGTGAGATCCGCTGCACAAACGCTCACAGAGGAGGAAAAAAAAACAAAAAACAAAAAACAAAAACAACCCAAATTTGAAACTGAGTTGGAAGTGCATGTTATGCAGTGTTGTTTACAGAGATGTTAAAAACTTACCTCAGACTGTTCATCAACCAAGAAAATGGCATGCCGTACAATATGAACAGCCTAACGTGAAATACATAATATAAAACAGTTGGGGTTTTAATACAGGAAAAATTGCACAGTAAACTTTTAACAGAAAATATTAATGAAAGTATCTCCCAATCTTGTTTCTTCATTACACTCTTATATTTTCAAAAACATAGACTATATGTAAGCTACCACACAACGTGGCGAGGGGGAAAGCGTAAGTGTTGTTTTTTGTTGTATAGTTCTGAGGAAGTAGTTATGCACTATTTGTATTTCCACTAATGTGAAGATAGTGGAGCTTGAATCAATGACAGTTGCACTCGACAGAGATTTTTCAAATTATAGGGGTAGCAGAAAGGGAGGTGAGCGAGCTGCGCAGCCACTGCGTGGCCACCCTGCAGGAGTCGTTGGTCTTGGGTCACTGTTTCATTTGTACCCTGATAGGATTACCAATTATAGTGTTTGAAAGTTTCTTATAACATGCCTTAAAATATTATGATTTGTTCCAAAGACCCGCTTTTCCTTTGGCTGTTCTTGTAGAGCTTTGTACTTTTCTACAAAGACAGCATTTCTCCAGTTTTGTTGGTTTGTTTTTTTTAAAGTTGCAACTTTTATTCTTTTAAGCCATGATAGTGAGAGCAACTGTTTCCTCTTTTCCTTAAAAATACACACAAAACCTAGTCAAAGCAAACAAGCCAGAATCAGATCAAGAGTATTAAACATCATTGCATTGGGTTTGGTTTTGTTTTTTCCTGTCATGTCCATCCCCCTTGCCCCACCCCTTCAGAGCATCAAAAAAATTTTGGTGACATTTTCTGTTATGGTTCTAGCCTCTCCCTAACCCCAGTGCTACAGTTGCCATTACTTTTCTGTGGGAAAAATACTGGTATTTGCTTTCCTGTATAGAACGTTGCCTAAAGATGTCAGCCATCTGGTTGGGGGGTTTTGTGCATGTTTGTTTTTTATTTTTTATTTTTTTTACCAGTGTGCTGTCAAAGCACTGGTTAGGCTTTAATTGTGAAACTCCGCAACAAAAGCAAATGTTTGACAACTGCAGGAGGCTTTTATCTGCATTGTTGTGCATCTGTTAATTCTTGATCAGGGTTTGAAGAAAGACTGAAGTGGGTTCTGGAATAAGGATTAATGCTGTTGATTTGGAGTTTCCTAGGGATGAATTAATGTATTTCACAGTTAATTGTTGAGCTCTAATACAACTGGCAACTCAAAATGGGGCAACAGTTTGTTTTGTAACAATGTCAGTTGTTTAAACCTTGATGTTTCAAATAAAACAAGAATTGTACATAGAACTCAATGCAAACTCAGCAGTTGTATTTGGAGTTAAATTATTTTAACAAATAAATTTATTTAATGAAATCTCCCTTGCATTTCCTCTATTATACATTTTAATTTGATCAAAAAAATTATTCAAAGCTGATGAGGGCTACCCAGTAATTTTGAACAACACTGTCAACTATTTGTGGTTCAGCTAAGTGCTGAATGCTGACAAAATGCTCTTCTGGTACAAATGAAGCAACAAGAAGTAAAAAGCAAATATACCTTAATTTTTATGGATGGATGCATGTTGTGATTTAAGTTTGATAAAGAACCATAGCAAAGTTGGGGGGTTTGTTTACTTTTCTTAAGGACTACACGTTGACAACAATTGGTAAGACTCAGTATTTGATAAGATACAGCTCTTGCTGTGGCAAGAGAATAGTGCTTACTGTAAAACATAATAAAATTATGTATGATCTTGGTCAATATATGGTATAGTTAATAGGCAGAACTACTTTTATAACATTGGGGTTGCAAAGGGTTAAAAAAAGGAGTTTGTTATATCAGCTGTTCAATTGATCAGTGTTTTGCAGGCTTTCAGCACCATACAAAAGGAGTTAGTGTTAGAAAGAACTTCAAATGCAATTAGTGTTGTAGAGATTTATAAATGAACAGTTAAGCTAATGCTAACAGGATTATTCTAGCTAATTGGCACTGATCAGCAGTTACATTTTAGTCATGCCAGTATCACTAAAATACTCTGTTTTCAGTAATGATGGGTGCTTGGTAGTCTCTTGTTTTCATGTCCTGCATGCCATAAGGAAGAAGGCTGAGGCTGGCACATCTTAAAAGCTCCTAGTTGTTTGGATAACACAGAAGGCTGGCACATACTGCTAATTTTATGTTTTTCATTTGCCCATTCTGTAAACCAGTTCCAGGGGAAATTTGGTGATGGGTTCATGCAGTCCTGTTAATTTAGTAATAAACTTTTTTTTTTTTTTTTGTCTGAGAAGGTGTCTATACTGGGACAGTAGGAATTCATTGGGCTGTTCTCAACAGGGTTTTTTTTAAAAAAAAAAAAAAGCAAATGTGCTACGTGCTCTTTTCAAATAACTGAACAACTAGAAGACTTTGACTATTGTACTTTTAACAAATGCTTTCTCTGCCCCCACCCCCTTCTTTTTTTTTCCTTTAGCCACTGCAGGAAACTCGTTAACTCTCTGAGAAAGCTTTGTAAATTATTTTGATTGAAAATAAATATCTTGTTATAGATCCTCCACAGGTATCAGTCTTACTGGATCATAGA